AAGAAAAGAAATCTTGAAAATTATACATTTTCCTCTTGTAGATTTGAATTTGCTTAACTTGCGGCCCCTATTAAGTATTGAAATATGGATATTTTCTATTAGTTTTAACAAAATGTCAATGGCAGTTTCTTGTAATCAATCCCATTCAAAGTCTTGTGAATTTCAAAATTGACAGTAAAACTCGATGCCCTTTCATACTCTCAGTTCTAAAGTGTTGCGCATTCACATAATGATTACAGGATAGTTTCTTCGCCAGCTTTGCCCTCGGGTGGCTCATTACCAATGGGGCTGGGCTGGCCTCGTACCCGATTGACACTGTGCGTAGAAGGATGATGATGACATCTGGCGAGGCCGTCAAGTACAAGAGCTCCTTGGATGCTTTTGCCCAGATTCTAAAGAACGAGGGTGCCAAGTCTCTTTTCAAGGGCGCGGGTGCAAACATCCTTCGTGCTGTTGCTGGTGCTGGTGTGCTGGCAGGCTATGATAAGCTCCAGGTTATTGTTTTCGGTAAGAAGTATGGCTCTGGTGGGGCTTAAGTGATGCTACTGCTCCCCAGCCAAGAATAGATGTTGATGAAAATCATTTCTACTTTGTTCGAGGTGAAGTATCTATTGTTATTTACACAATTCCTAAAAATTAAAATAATCCAAATTTTTTGAGGGTGTGAACCTGGATTGATGCATGTTTTCTCAGTAAGGGATTGATTGTTTTGATACGCAGAGCCTTGTGTGATTTGAAGAGGTTAAACTGGCGGTTTTTTACTTTTTTTCTCGTGTGATTATGGTTTTGAAGAGGTTAAACTGGCGGTTTTTTTACCTTTTTTCTCGTGTGATTATGGTTTTATGTATAGCTGTCTAGTGACATGGACCACATGGTATTATATGATTTGTTTATGGTAAAATTTATTCAGCAACTAAATAAATTTGATATTTAATCTACACGATTTTTATACAAACTAATTATTGGCATATCAAATATCAAACATAGAAAGGTTAATCGATTAACTGAATGATCGAATAACAAACAGTTTTCGAAGTATGATCAACCGAATGGTCAAAATAGTAGGTTCTGGAATATGAAATTAGAAAAGTGGGAAACCAAATAAGATTTTAATTGTCTCTCCTTGTTTGAGAGCTTCTTCTCTCGCTTGAGAGATTCTTCTCCTCAGTGAGTTTTCTCCGGTTGTAGTTGCTGGTCTTTCCTTATTGTCAATTTCCCCCGACAATCTAGGGTTTAGTGCTCCTTGCCATTCCGTTTGATTCTGGGATGGAGGACGAGCTAGGGCACAGGCTCGGCAAATTCACGCTATCGGAAGTGGAAATCACGTATATTGATCTTGAGAAGATTGATGTGAAACTCAGTGAAGAAGAATGCCATCGAAGTTTGTTTGGGAAGATAGTAGGAGATCGTTAAGCGAATTGGGTTGGAGTCAAACGCACTATGAGCTTCCTCTGGAAATTGAGGAATTCACTGGAGGTATGAGAACTAGGCACAAACTACTTTCAATTTCTCATTCAGAAAAGAGAGGATCTCATTAGAATAGTGAAAGGCATAAATTGGTTATTCGAGAATCAACATTTAATTCTCAAAGAGTGGCAAGAAATCTGAGCTACTCACCCATGCTTTGATGAGCTAACCCTCTTGGTCCAAGCTCATGGAATCCCTGTTAATTGGCTGACCTCAGAAGTAGGGCTCAAACTGGGGATAGTATTCAAGAAAGTGAAATATGTCAACATGACAAAGGCTCAAAATTGTCATTGACTCATTGTTTGTTTACTCAATTTTATCATTGTATGACTTTGACTTTGAAATGCACAACCCAATGTAATTCATGAGTTTTTTTTTTTAATTTTAATCAAAATCAAAGCTCAAAATTGATTTTTGATTTTATTCTTTACATAATGAAAATTAAAGAGGAAAATAAAATTAAAATTCGAATTTAAAAATTAAAATACAAATTACAAACCTATGATAAATTACAAATTTGATATTGATTATTGAACTCTTATTTAGAGAAATAACATCATACATTAAAAAATTAATGATAAAAATATATATAATTATATATTATACATATAAAAGAAATAGAAAACTATATATTAATTAAATCGTTTCGATTGGTTCGACCACTGGTTCGACCAGTGAACCATTGAATCAGTAGCTTAATCGATTCGATGACTGTTTCGGTTTTCAGAATATTGGATATTACCCGAGCTACTACTAGTCTACGGGTAAAAAACAAGAATTCTGTATTAAATTATTACCCTACAGTACAGATCCAGATCCCATCAAATCAAAACTCTACTAATCAAGTCGGGTCTCCCTAATCAAGAATCTTTTTCTTTCCATCTATATTCTATAGTTTTCCTGTTTTTTAGTTGGGGTCATTAAGCTTTCCTTTCTCCATTTTCAGTCCAAGTTCAAGAACGATTCTGGATGCTCGAGCTCTTTTTACTTTATTCTGATTAAATATTAGCAAAACCCAAAACAGGAGTTCAATTGTTTCTCGTTCTATCTTCATCCGCAATTGCAGCCGGAAATGGGCGGTATTTTGTTTCAACTCTAACTCGCGAAATTTTTTGGGCATTTCAAGATTTTGTTTCCCCTTTTCTAAAGTCTTAATTTTTAGGTAGTGAAGTGGGCTGCTCGAGTTCTAATCTATGGTTTGCTCAAGACCCCAGCAAAAGATGGGGTGAAATATTCTTCCTTCTCTACACTCCCTTTTGGCTCACTCTTTGCCTCGGAATTGTTGTTCCTTGGAAGCTTTATGAGGTGTACTTCTTTCTCGTATGGATTTACTGCTTCTCTATAACTTCATTTAATGTTGTTCTTGTCCGTGCACTAGTTGGAAATATTTTACTTTGGTTTAGTCGAATAAATTATTTTGTATTGGAGATTGTTGTTTCCAGAAAAAAAAAGGCTTGATTACTTGACCGGCTCTTTACTATTTTGGAAAAAGATAGTATGGAAGAATCTAAATCTAGGGAATTTGGGTTAAATGTGATGGTAGCAGGTGATGTGATGGTGGGTTTTGTGTTATGATGGTTAGATGTTATTGATGGTTCATAGAGCCTGAAAGGCTGAATATCGTATTTATGATATGAATGTGTAATGGTATTAATCTGATGTTATAGTTTTAATTGAAATTGCTGCTGGATGTGATTGACTATTGAAGAAAAAGAGCGTGGAAGCAACTTGCACAGCTTTTGTTTCATCTGAAGTCTCTAAAATGTGGTAGAAAATATCTTCTCCATAAGGGAGAAATGACTATCTCAAATTTGAAGATTGTAATGAACTAGTCTTCATTTTTCATACTTTATGTGTTTTTAATAATAGACTTCTGATTTCAGTTGTTAATACCAAGGGGCACTGCTTGCATCCTCGGAATGAGTTTGTCGATATGATGGTGTTTTGTTGTTAAACAAAAATATTAATTGGGATTGTTGGATATATGGTTCGATTTGTATCTTTTCTTTAATAATTTAATATTCAAATTTGCTGCTTATTCAATATATTTGTTGTGCAGACTACTTTGATTATATGCGTCCGACCGCAAAATATATGATGTATAAATTTTGTGCGCCATTTTTTAATTACATTGGTAATTTGGTTCAATAAATATGCTTATCTTGTTTGATATATTGTTTGCTAGACACTAACTTAATATTCCTCATGTTTTCCTTCTTTATTCTTTTTTCCTTTTCTATTCTTTCATTTTGCTGCAGAATTTCACAGAGTGGGAGTACCTTGTTCTGGGACTAGTTTCAGCACTCCCTGCTTTCATTATTCCCATGATAATTGTTGGGAAGGTAAAATTGAGGGATGTTTTCATGAGGTTTTGATGAAATTCATGTTTTAATGTCATTGGGTGCTGAAAATATATTTATTGCGCTTTCCTCTAACAAAAGGAAAGCTGCTGAAGCTTTATTCTTTCATGTTTTAGCGTTGTAACAACTATTGTTTTCCTCAAATTTTACCAGGCGGACAGCAGCAAATCTTGGAAGGATCGTTATTGGGTAAAAGTAAGTATCGGGTTTTTGTTGTTTAACTCGAAGTGATAAAATTGATTTTTTCTTTTCAATATATGATTTCTTGTTCACTCTGTTACTTATTTTATATGTTTCTCTTAAGATCGAAATAGAACTCGTGGTATTGTTCGTAGTGTACAGAATGAGAAACAACTTCACTTTGTACCTAAATTTGAATGGAGAAACAGCTAGCATGCAAAGTTTATTTCTGGAAACTTTTGATCGAAGCTATAGAGAAACCAAATGATATATATGGCTTAATTCAAATTCTTCCTTCCGGCTTCTGGTTTATGTCATTATTAACCTCCTACAGATTTCTCCTCATTATTTACGATTGTCTGTAACTGGAAAATTGTTGTTCTGCCAGGCTAATCTGTGGATCATACTTTTCAGTTACGTGGGGAATTACTTTTGGACCCACTATTTTTTCACTGTCTTGGGAGCCTCATATACATTCCCGTCATGGAAAATGAATAACGTGAGCTCAACTCTTCGTTTTTATTTTTATTTATTTTTTTCTCTTGACCTAATCTCCATCTTTTAGTTTTTAATTATTGAAGAGTGATTAACTCTGCAGGTACCACACACAACTTTCCTTCTCACACATGTGTGCTTCTTGTTTTATCATGTCACATCAAATATGACACTTCGTAGGATCCAACATTCTGTGGCTCACTTGCCAGAAAACATGCAGTGGTGTTTCAAAGCTGCCTGGATTTTCGCCCTTTCGTACTTCATAGCATATCTAGAGACACTAGCTATCTCCAATGTAAGTGAAAATAAAAATACATAATGTATTTTATGAATATGTATGCATAATTTAATATTTTTTTTTCTGCTTTTGTTTGTGTGCAGTTTCCCTATTATGAATTTGTGGACCGTGCTTCCATGTACAAAGTTGGCTCCTTGTTCTATGCGATTTACTTTTTCGTTAGCTTCCCTATGTTTTTGAGGCAGGCTCTCCCCCCCTCTCTCTCTATCTCTCTCTCTCTCTCCCCCTCTCTCTATATATATATATAGAGAACCAAGTCCTAGCGTGAGAACCGCTATTTTTTATTATATGAAGTGCTATGATTGATTGTATTTTAGTGCTATTTTTAACCAGGATGCATTTTATTAAAAATAACAACACAATTTTTATTAGCATTTGTGAAAATGATAGCATCATACACAATTAAAAATAGCATCAAATATGGTTCTCACGGTTCTCACACCAGGATAATTTTTTTTTTTAACTAGTCCCTATATATATCTATAGAGGATTTGTGGTTCAAATGAAATTTAAGTCTTACTATGAGAACAGTGAGAACCGCTATTTTTAATTTACGTAGTACTACTATGATTAATTGTGCTTTAGTGCTATTTTTAACCATGATGTATTTTATTAAAAATAGCAACACGATTTATATTAGCGCTTTTGTGAAGATGATAGCACCGTGTAATATAAAATAGCATCAAACACAATTGAAAATAGCATCAAATACGGTTCTCACATCAGGATTAATTTTATTTGAACCAGCTATATATATATATATATAATGATCGTATTTAATTTTGGCGTCTAGGATTGATGAGAAGCCTGGTGATCGTTGGGACTTGCCTCGGGTAGCCATTGATGCTTTAGGTGCAGCAATGCTAGTCACCATAATCCTTGATTTATGGCGTATTTTTCTTGGCCCAATTGTACAAATTCCAGATTCCAAACAGTGCCTTCAACCGGGATTACCTTGGTTCCTAGGTAATGCCTAAGTGGGACCCATATTGATGTAGCAAGAGACAGTTGAGCCATTCTCGTCTGGGCACATCTTTCTCTCTCAAGCTACTTCATGTAAGGCTGTAACTATTAATGTATTTTCTAACGTGAGTTCAGTTTCTGTGATGTTGTTCGCCATTCGCTATGTTGTTGTTTGCTATGCTGTTGGCTTGCATGTTTTGAACTGTAAGAGTGATGGATTCAAGTACTTGAGATATGTTTCAGAATTAGTCTTAAATTTCATCCGTTTTCATAGGCTGTGTTATTTTAATTTCATGTAAATTTCGTTTTCTTTTGTTTTCAGTTAAGACAGAGTTTTGGTTTATCCATAAACAGGCCCGGCCCTGGGCCAGGGCAAGCTGGGCGATGGCCCAGGGCCCATTAATATAATGGGGCCTCATATGCATACATAAATTGCTATACATTTACTATATATGACTTTTTATAAGCCCAATCCAATAAAAATTCATCCATCAGCAAGAGCAAATTAGCAATACATATGTACATATGCAATGCTTCCAATGGGCCCCACCTCTTGAAGTTGAATTGAATGGAAAAAATGCAGCCCGTAATAAGTTGAATTGAATATCTTCTTTCTACTCTTGCATCTTGACAAATACGACTCTTATTCTTTTTCCCTCTTCCAGTAAATTTCATTTCTAAAAATAATAATATTTTTTTTCCTTCCAGTAAATTTAATTTCTAATAATAATAATAATATAATAGTTGATTATTGAATATAAATATTATTTTATTCATTTCGGCCCACGTTTTCCTTTTGTCATTCTCAATTTTTTTTATTTATATTTTCATACCTTAAATTACCATCACCATTTCAAGTTACTTTTAAGAGTGCCCAGAATCAAGTTGCGTTTCAATTTTTATTTATATTCCTTTTCAATTGATTTCACATACATACTTCATCATTATCATCATTTTATTTTGTTTAAGACATAAATTTGCAATATCTTAAGATTTTAGAAGATTGAATGTAGATTGTGGGCATTATATTTATATTTTTTGACTCTACTTGCTAACTTAGGGGGATTGAAAAAAATCATATATAAACGAATTATATAAAAAAACAATAATATATATAGAAACATATTAAAAAAAATAAAACACAAAAATAAATTATATATATAGTAAAAGTTGATTTATTTACGATTAAAAAATCATTAATTTACGAATAAAAAATTTGTAGGAGGTATAATTTCTCAAGTTAGATTAGGGGCATTAATTATATATTTGGCCCAGGGCCCAAAATCATCCGGCTCTGTCCATAAATTTGGCTACTGAATCTGATGTCCATGAATTGCATAAAAAAAGCTTTCTTGTCATAACAAGATTTTATGCTTAATCACAACCAAAGGCTATTAAGCAATGGTGTGCGCGTGACGAAGTTGGTTTTGGTTAATATGGATTGATAATGACGAGTTCTCCGCTATATCAATAAACTAGCAAGTGACGTGTACATGGTTATATGATTTCTGAATTTTTTTTTTTTTTTTTTNCGGCATAAATTATTTAGTATGTGCATAAGGTTATTTTTATCAAAAATTACACTTAAATTACATTTGATTTGGAAAAATTAGTAATTCTATAACAAATAGAGAGAGATGGACTAGTTCTCCTATATTATCATTGTTTAGGGTGGTCAAACCTGGCTAATGCGAACAACAAAAATAGTCATCGCACCCGAAATGAATGGACCGAAAAATCAATGAATCAAAATTTAAGTTAGGCCGAAATGTAAACTGAAATCCAGACCAAAATTTGTGGTCCAGTTCATTTTCAAACATAAAATATGTCCACTCGGTTTGGGTTATCGAAAGGCAATACCACATATAAGGTGGATAACGAAACTAAAATAAATGAAAATGGTTAGGCTAGAATGGTTAAAATTATCGTTTTATTCGGCCCCTTGCAATTTTATGGTTATTATAAATTTCATGTTCGATTTAATTAACTGACCACTTATATATAAATTAGTGTTAATATCACTAATTAGCCATGTAAATTTACAAAACACAAATTTTGGCCATGTTTTGTAAAAAATATCTTTTTTAGCCATTTTAGCATTTATTTTTATGGATTAATTGCCAAATAAACCTCGACCTTTTAACTTTTGGCAATTTAATCTAAACTTTCAAATAATAGCAATATAATCTCTACCTTGTCTTATTTTTGCAAAATTGACTTAAAACCCGTCGGACGGTCAAAACATGCCAGCGTGTCCGGCTGTGTTTTATCTACGTGTAATTTTGAAGATGCTCACTCAGATTAATTAAATACGTGGAATTTCTTATGAAAGAAGTATAAAAACCCGGTCCCTTCCCAATTTGAGAAATTCCCAAATCAAAAATTTGCAACCCTAAACCCGTTCCCCCCTCCCCAATTTCAGAAATTCCCCAACCCTAATTTCTCAATCTTACTTTCGAAAGTTCTTTTTTTTTTTTTTTTTTCTTTTGGCAGACGATAGCTCGAGCAAGCAAGCCACGATCTGCTACGCGCAAGCCAGAGTTTTGGAAGCTCCAGTGTTCCTTTGAAGATATGTCGTTGTCGCCATCCCAAGGTAGCAAAGGTGTATTCCTCCACGACGGACGATAATCCATGTAGAAGGTTCTATAGATGTGCTACGTGGAAGGTGAGCTACGTGTATTGTGTTTGGTCGGGATGGTTTGGATAAGGAGGAAATTTTATAGATTTGCACTTAATCGCTTAAATTTTACAAAAAATTGAGATTGTTTGATTCGGTATCAGGACTTTTGGCACGATTTAATTCAGTTCAATTCGTTTTAAAGTCCAATTTCTTCAAAATCCCCAAATTTCATAAACATAATTAAAACCCCAATTTCTATAAACCCTAATTTTTTTCGATTTACATTGTTCAGGAAGGGAATGACCGCGGCTTTTTCGTTTGTTTTCTTCAAAATCCCTAATTTTCATAAACCTAATTAAAACCCCAATTTTTTATAAACCCTAATTTTTCGGTTTACATTGTTTAGGAAGGGAATGACTGCGGTTTGTTTGAATGGATTGATCCTGAAATTTCTCAGTTCCAAAAATCTTGTTTTCTGCAATTGAAATCTAAGAAAGAGTATTTGGAAGAGCAGTTGAGGGGTAAGGTTGCAGTGGAGAAATTGTACTCTGGAAAGGCATTGGAAAAAGATGAAATTGCGGACCGTGACATTGACTTTGAACAAAAACTGAATGATCTTGAGGTTGAAGTTCGGAAGAACAATGAAGCCGTGCTGGTTATGAAAAATACATTAGGTCTCATGCAAAAACTGGAAAGGAAGATGAATGTTGTAATGTTTTGCTTGATTGTGGTTATGATGATTTTCTTGCTTAATTTGGTTGGGAATTCTGGTCATGAGCAGAGGCCTAAAATGTTGCTTTGAATATTGTTATGTTTTGTCTCATTTTGTGGATGTATTGAACTTAAGAAAGAATGTAATCTATTGTTGTGTTTTATCTCATTGTTATTGTCCTTTTATTTGGTGTAATCTTTTGTTATGTTCTGAAATTTATGAGTTCCAACTTAACAACACATTATTTATAGAAAACTGAGATCAACATTACAAACAATGATAAAGCACTCTAAACATTACAACAACACTCCAAATTGAATAATAATCTGTTCCAAAGTGATTAATAATATGAGAACTTCCAAAACAACATCAAATAGGTCTTGAGTGCCTAATCTGACAACTTCCAAAACAACATGGCCTAAATCTGAGTTCCAAAACAACATCACATACTTCCAACACTCCACAATCAACAATAGTACAAAAGTAAATCCTTTCTAATCATCCACAGTTCAACAAATACTCCAAAATAAACCTAAGTTAACCATCATCTACGAGAATCACTCTCTTGAGTGCCTAAAGCACCCTTAGTCTTCTTCCCCTTCTGCATTTTTCCCTTCCCTCCAGTGTTGGTAGAACCAGTACCTTTCTCAGAAATTACATGAACTCTTCTTTCTGATGACAACTGCATTTGTGACATTTTACATAATAAATGAAAATCATTATAAAAAAATATTAGAAAGAAAACTGTTAAGGTAATAGACATACCCTCATGTAGGTATTACCAGTCTCCTCAGACTGAAGGATTCCAAATCCCTTTCTTGCCTAAAAAACAAATATAATAATAATTGAGCAGAAACAACATGATACATGGAATAACTGAGCACAGAAACAACAAATATAATTAAACTTTAATAAAAATAAAATGCTATTACCAGAGCTCTTTCCTTTAGAGTTAAAGATGATGACTGTTGGCTTGACTGTTGAGTTGACTTCTTTGTTGACAATGAACTTGTGTTTTCAGCTGTTGATCCAACATTCTTCTTGGGCCTCCCCCTTGGATTCTAACAAAAAAATAGATATTAAAACATGATTTTATTTGTTGTTCAAATTGATGTTTATCATAATAAGACTTGAAATATTAATTATAACCTTTGGTTGTTTCTCCACTGGAGGATTAGAGCATGACTGTTGGGCTGATCCAACATTCTTCTTGGGCCTTCCCCTTGGATTCTAACAAAAAAATAGAAATTAAAACATGATATGATTTGTATTTCAAATTGATGTTTATCATAATAAGACTTGAAATAGAATTTATAACCTTTGGTCGTTTTTCCACTGGAGGATTAGAGCATGATTTCTTATTGTGCCCTTTTTGAAAACATCTTTGGCAAGTCATAGTCAACCCAAATCTCCTCAACTTAGTCCCACAATTCATTTCCTCCTCAGGTGCTCTCTTTCTTTTCATTTTTGGCCTTCCTGGCATCTTTTTAAAAGGAGGAGGAAGAATAGGAAAGCCCTGTGCAACTGGCCACAATTTCTTCCCATTTATGGGTTCTAATGACAAGCTGTACAATTGCAGATACCTTTCAACTGAGTAGTACTCAGACACAAACTCTACAGGATCCTGATGTTGGAAATTTATTGCAGAACATGCATGTACACATGGTATGCCTGTAATGTCCCAACTTCTGCAAGTACATGTCTTGTTCTTCAAGTTCACAACAAACTGATCATCCTCATGCACAACCTCAAATCTTTCACCAACAGCTGGCTTTGTGAGACAGAGCCTAGACATGTATTTGTTGTGCTCTAACTTCTTTCTTATTCTAGGACAAATCCTATCTGTATACCCACTATGTCCTAACAACTTGTCATGTTGTCTTTTCATTAACTCACTTCTAACAAACTCAAGCATATCAATAATGTGTTTGCTTCTACCCTTAACAATCATTCCATTGAATGTCTCACTCACATTGTTCTCAATCATATCACATCTAGACAATGGAGAAATGTAAGCCTTACAGAATTTGGTAGGATCTTTGTCCATGAAATCTTTATAAGCAGCTGGATCTTCTGACTTCAAATCTTCCAAAAATATGTTGTAGTCCCCCAAGTGAGTGCTGAGCACAATCTTCCAAAAAATGCTTTTCAGTGTGAGCCCTTTGAAACTCTTCTTCCAATTCATATATACATGTCTAGCACAGTTTCTGTGCTCAGCATGTGGAGCCAAATCTCTTAATGCATTAAGAAGACCCTGCAAAAGGATAAAATTTGAATAAGTGGAAAAATTCATTTATGTTCACAAAATTTATATATGTTAGAGAGAGAATTTACTTTTTGTTGGTCTGACATGAAAGTATATCCAAGACCATCAGTAATTCCCAAATCAGTAAACAAAATACCTAGAAACCACCTCCAACATTCCTCATTTTCTGTCTCAACAACTGCCCAAGCCACATGGTATATTTGATTGTTGCCATCTTTTGCTGTGGCACACAATAAAGCCCCACCAATAAAAGTCTTTAAGAAACACCCATCAAATCCTAAAATGGGCCTACAACCACTAATGAAACCCTTTCTCAGTGCACTAAATCCCACATAGAACCCTCTGAATGTAGTTTCTTCACCAAGAAGAAACTCAAACCTTCCATCTCTGTCTACCCTCAACAACTCTGCCATGTAACTTCTCAGAGAAGCATAATGGCCAATTACTGAACCTCTAAGCATCTCAAGAGCTCTCCACTTTCCTCTATAAAGCTTCCACTTTGTAGGCTGCACTGCAAACTTTTCAGATATTATTTCTTCCATTTGGGTATTAGACATGTTTGGATTCTTTCTGAATTTCTCAACAAACTCCTCAGCAATCCACTCTGATGTAACCTGCCTGGTGTGGACATTTCTATGGCATTTGTGCTCCTTGTTCAACTGTTTAATTGCTACACTACCCTCTTTCATAACTGCAGTTGCATACAAGGTCCAAGGGCAACCATCAACACATTTCACTCTCAACAGTTTTTTGCTAGTTTTCAGAAACTATGTCTCTCCCTTGAATAATAGCTACATTCCTTAATGCTTTCTTCAACTCCTCTATGCTTATGAATCTCATCCCTAACATAAACTCAAGAGTACTATGATCACATTTTGGATCATAAGTAACCATTTTCCTTCTACCTATACAGTTCCCATCATCATCCATTTCCCACTCACTACCTGAATTTTCAGAAACCAATCCACAATCTACAAACCCAGAATCTTCACTGTCCATCTCAATGGCCTTCTTTGACTTCATGTTGTCTGCACATTCTCCAACATCCTCTAATATCCCCTTTTTGTGCTTCTTCAAATTCTGTCTTGCCTCAAAATATTCAGCATCATCATCAGAAGCAAAATCATCAAGAGACAGTTCATCATCAGATGAGCTATCATCAACAGGGAAATAGTCTTCATCCTCACTATCATCCCCAGACCCACTTCCAACCTCACAGTCACCCACATTGGAAGTAGGCAACTGTGGAGTCTTTAGGTTATTCCTCACTTCTGTATCAACATCACCATCTTTCTGTGACTCAGCTAATAAATCCACATCATTAGGATTCTTAGGATCAGAATGATTCTTAGGATCAGAGAAATTGTCTATATATGAATCAATGTCAAATTGTTCCTCTGACCTTGGTGCACTTTCAACACTAGCTTCATTTTCACTGTTATCTTCTTCTATAATTTCCCCTACTACATAAACCTCTAATAATGTTCTTCCCTTAGTAGCGTGGTTAATCATCTCCATAACTACACTATCATCAACAACATCTTTAAACATATCTGCTCCATTGTTCCTTGGTATTCTGTATACAAGTTTTTCAAACTTTTCAACCCCCAGCTTCTCAACTACTTCTTTTAAGTCAAAATACCCAAACCTATCCACATCTAAACCATGAACTGTTTTAAATTTACCACCTAAGTACTCAACAGAAGTTCCACATTTAACGAACTGGCCTCCATAGTTTACAAAAATTGAAAATTTTCCACTGCAATGCAAACATATGAATAAATAAGATAATAGCAACAAGTGAATTGCATAAGACTCTAAATTTCCCAAAAAAAACCCTAATTGTTCAAAAAAACCCTAATTTCTCCCAAAAAACCTAATTATTTAGATAAGCCCAAATTGTTCAGAAAATCCCAATTTTCTCCCAAAAAACCTAATTATTTAAAAAAACCCTAGTTTTCCCAAAAAACGTAATTTCTTAGAAAAGCCCCAAAAAGAAGCCTAATTTCACAAAAAAAAACCTAAATTCCAAGAATAAATGAAATTTCTAATCGAATCCTAAATATAAGACCAGACTCGAGAAACATCGAAATAAAAATTGCAGAAGAAAGAAAGAAAGAATAGCGCACCTGTCTTTCATCTTCCCGACATATAACGAATCTCGAACGCACGACGACAAGAAATCTGGCACGTAGAAACACAAACTCGCATGCAATTGGGACAACCTTGTAGCGGATTCTTGATACAGAGACAAGATTTCAGATTTAGGGTTTGATTTTTTTTGTCGAGATTGATTTTGGGGAATTTGAGTTGGGGATTTGATTTGGGGATCGGGTTTTTAATTTGAAGATGGGTTAATTTGATTTGGGGATCGGATCGGGTTTTAGTTTGATTTGGGTAACAAAATTCCACGTGTTTATTTAATCTGACTGAGCAACTGAAAATTACACGTAGATAAAACACAGCCGGACACGCTGGCATGTTTTGACCGTCCGACGGGTTTTAAGTCAATTTTGCAAAAGTAAGACAAGGTAGAGATTATATTGCTATTATTCAAAAGTTTGGATTAAATTGCCAAAAGTGAAAAGGTCGAGGTTTATTTGGCAATTAACCCTATTTTTATTTCATTAACCCTAACTCAATTTTTTCACATTACTCTTTTCTTTCCCCCCAAATCAATTCATTTCATTTTCAGAAATTTCAATTTAATTCAAATACACTAGGGTTCATCTCCCTCATCTCTCTCTCACGCCCATCACTTCCACCGTCGAGCTTCCAACCGTCGAGCTTCCGACCACCTGCACCACCGTCAGGCGACCATCGCCCGACCACACTTAGCGACTGGCGATCTGATTTCCGACGTCGAGCTGCAGCACACCTCCATCCGGCCTCCTCTGTTCACTGGCGCAACCACTCACGACCGTCCTCAGTCCCGACCATCAACCGGCGACCTCACCCTCGAGTGTGTATTTTATGTTATTTTTTGGATATTGTGTAATCAATCCTTAATTTTATGAGTTCTGGTATCTGGAAATTTGCGTCTTGTGCAGGGTAGATATATTCTCGACAAAAATGGCGACTCCATAGCTGTAGCTTGGATCAGTCGAAGAGATTTGTAGGAGATGATTTTGGGTGGAGCTCTAAGCCTCAGGTGCCATTCACATCCTCACCCAATTTTGAGGTGTGTGTATTTTTTGTCTTCTTTTTTCTGTTCCTCGAGACAAACCCTAGTAGAATTTGGTTTAAAGTTATGATTATGGTTGGAAAATGGATTTTGGAAAATGCATTTTTAGTCATACCTCACTCCCTTGTACAGGACGAAGGTACCTTAGGTCCCAAGTTGGGCGCGTGAGCTCCCCACCAGCGAGCGCGTAAACTACCTCGGCTGTCAAAACTGTCAAAGCTATGCGGGCTCAGAGGTGGTTACAAGGCGTGGACCACTCAGGTGAAGCCACGTGGTTTCACCCATGTGAGGGGTTTAATTCCCTAAGATTCCTTCTTGTTGTAAGTATTTTTACCGGAGTAGAATCGAAAGATTCGTTCCCCGGGTTATATCGCAAGGAAGGTTAGCTGGATTTAATTGTACAAATATTCAATAACGAAAAAGAGAAAACAAATTTCTAAACACTCTAATTCAATAGTTTGGGGTTTTCAATTATCAGCTAATGACTTTAAACTAAATAAAATGCAATTTCAATAGCAAACAAATTCACTTAATGATAAAAGAGCTAGGGAATCGGGGATAATCGCTTTCGATTCTAACACAATTACCGGGCAATCAATTGCTCGGTTAAAGGACTTGAATCGTTTCTCGTTCAGAGGTTCACTCTCAATAACTCTTCGTAACAAGAATTGAATATAAACGATCAACTATCAATTCCACTAACACATAGACAATACATTAATGAACAAGTCTATTCTAAACGAGCCTAAATCGACCGACGTCTCCCCTCTCGGTTCTAAACGTCAATTAACTAGGTTAGAATGGTGACCAATCAACTAACCTTATAATTTACACAACTCACATAGATTTGAACAATTAAAGGCATGCAATCATAAACGAACCGAAACAATCATCCCCTATCCCTAGCGAATGGATTTAGTTACTCATTACGAATTTAACATCAAAACTCACATCAACCCAAGACATCATCATCATAAACAAATTGAGAAAAAGAACTTACGATTAATGTAAAAATCCCAATGTCAAATTCAAGTGCAATCCAAATCCAAAGTGAGAGAAGGAGTTTTTCAATCTCCAAATCAAATCCAAAGTGAAAAACTAAAGAGAGGAATAAGTTTTCTAGAGAGAAAAAGCATAAAACATCAGTCTGGAATGGAATAGAGTGCCCTAGGTCCAAAAACAGATTAAAAATCACGCATCTCGATTTTCGCATCGCCAGGTCGCGAGTCGCAACTTCCTCGTGAGTCTTGCATCGTCATATTCTTCAAAATCCGGGGAAGTCGCGACATCTTCTCGCGAGTCGCAACTCCATGTCGCGAGTCGTGACTCGAGCTCGCAGACAGCACCTTCAAGCTCTGAAAAACTCGTGGGTCGCGACCCATGTCGCAAGTTGCGGAAAAAACTGGCCTTCTCCATTTTTCGATCCATCAGTCTTCTTCGTCGTCTTCTGGGCTCGACAACGAATATTTTCAATGATCACGATCTTGGCTCAAGCAGTACCAACCACAACCTACCTCTTGCAAACAAAAACAAGAAAAAACACAAAGCAAAATAAGGCAAAAAGACGCACAAATAGAAACTAAACAGAAAAACACAATGTTGATATCCGGATCGGGCTCCCATAAAGGTAACGATCTGCGAGACCGGGAACCGGGTGAGGCCGGCCCGGCTAGTGGGGCCGGTTACCACGTCAATTAGCAAGTGCCGATCTGAGGATTAGTCAAAGTCAACTGGAGTGGCGGACAACGTCATACCCCGAGGTCGGCACCTCGGTGCTCCCGTTATGGAGCCGACCGGCTTAGGGCATGGGGTCTGGAAGGCCGGAGGGCGATCAGACTGTCATAGCCCGGCTCGGGATCCTACCAGCTCGGCCCCCGTAGGGGTTAAGGATCCAGGAAGCAATTAAATAAGGCCACTTGTCAACCAATGATTGCCGATGGGACATCCCAGACTAGCCTGTAGGTCTAGGACGTCTAGCCCGGCCGAGGAACATGTCCGCATTAAATGCAGCCCATACCAACATTAAATGCATTGCAGGTAATGATTGGAGGATCGCAAAATCACTCCCAATCAGTCAGAGAAACTCCGGCCTGTCTTATCGAGTTACTGTACGACAGGACCCGTGATTAGTACCCGAACAGTACCACATTTAAGAGCCCTATAAATAGAAGTCCTAAACATTTATTTTGGGTGGTTGAATCTCAACTGTCCTGACTCTCTCTACATTTTCTCTCTCTAAACTTGTAAGGAATTTGTGTAAGAATTTGTAAGTATATCGCAAGTGCCGACCTCGTACGAGAGGCCGACCTCGTGATCGATTAATAAAATCATAATTAAACCTCTTTTCTTGTCTTTTCTCCATGTCTTATTTCTTTTTCTTATTTCTTTGACCGTTGATCGGAAACGTCCATCAAAAGTTTGGCGCTAGAGGAAGGGCCCCATAAATTACTTGGTGTCAATCTTTCGATCTTGTGGAAATCCACTTCGAACTACTTTTCTTTCCCACTCTCTCTCCAAAAAACACTCGAAATGGTTTCGTCGGATCACAACGAGTCCACCCAACAGTCCGGCGCCCAGTCACGTCGGCGTAACGGCGGAGAGACCTCTCGCCGCGCTCAGCAGGGGCCCATAGTCACTGTCCCGCCAGTTCCCACCTTCGCTGCGGCCATGTAGCACCCCGACGTCCTCAAAGCCCTCGAAGGGGTCTTTGCAAAGGCGCTAGCCAGCCAGGCGGCCGGGGGAAATACCGTGGCGCCCACGGAAAACCCCAGCAATACCCTGTTGCATACCCCCGAAATGGAGGCCGGGGGGTAGAAAAACCCGACGAAATCCAAAACCACGGCTCAATCACCGAACCTTGAGGCCCGGAACCGCCGCGACAAAAGCACCAGACCGGCACCTACCAAGCAGACCGGAGAGAGCCGTCCAGAGCAAAGCCTCCAGGTCGTCCGCCGCTCCGTTTACCAACGCCTAGGTGACAAGAGCCAAGCTGACCGCGATCTCCGATAGGTCATCAAGCGAGGCAAAGCTATAGGGAGCGACAATGACGAAGTCGCGGTCCTCAAATGCAAAATCGCCGAACTGGAAGGCCGGCACCCCTCTAGGAGTGAGCTGTCGCTCCCTGCCTATCCACAATCTTACGCACGACCGACTCCCCGAGTCGCGGACAACGCTTCACCCCTCTCCTCCGACATCCTGTAGGAGGCTGTCCCGAAAAAGATAAAGGTGCCGCAACTCGGCCTCTACGACGAGAGTTCGGATCCCGACTCCCACTTGGCCTGTACACCTCGTGGATGGATCTGCACGGTGCCACGAACGCCCTGCGCTGCCGCATGTTTTCTTTGACTCTGGGGCCGAAAGCGCAAAGGTGGTACCACTCCCTGTACCTCCACTCCATCTCCTCATGGGGGCAGCTCAGGTCGGCATTCCGATCACACTTCATCGGGTCGCAAATGGGTTTGGCACCCAAGGAATCCATTGCCAATATCGTCCAAGGAGAGGACGAGAGTCTGAAGGATTACATCGCTCGGTTTAACGATCGAGTTCAAAACATGGAGCGGTGCCACTCTGATGCGCTGCTGATCACCGCACAGGGCGGCCTGAGACCAAAGACGCTATTCAAGTGGTCCTTGTGTCAGAATAAGCCGACCACTTACCAGAAATTCCTTACCCGAGCCCAGGACTACATCATGGCGGAGGAGTCCTCGTCGATCCCAACCTTCGACGCTGTGCCGACCAAGGGTAAGGCCAAGGAGGAGAAGCCGGGGAAGCCGAGCAAGTCATTCGCCGAGGTCCGAGCCCTGCGGAGACAAAAGGCCGAGGAGCTGAAAGAGAGTTATCAGAGCGTCTTTTCCGTGGGTGCTGCCGCGGTTTACGAGGAGATCAAGGCGAAGGGGTTACTGCCGGACCCAAAGCCGATGTTTACAGACAACGACAAGGTAGACAAAACCCGCTACTACACCTATCACAAGGCGCACGGGCATAATACCGACCAGTGCCGAAATTTGATCTCGGCACTGCTCAAGCTGATTGATTACCCACAACTCAAGAGGTTCACCCACTCCGGCGAAAAGAGGAAGAAGGGGGGCCGTTTTGGGGACGGCCTAGACAGTGACGAGGATACAAACGTGAATCCTCGGAGGAAGAAGGCGCAACAGGATGACCCCCGCGAGATCATGACCTTCTGTCCCGCCCACCAAGGTGAGGTCGGCACCTCCAGAGGCCGAAAACGAGACTGGTCCCCACAGCGTGGAACCGACCAGACCGACTACCCAACTCGGCGCGTCAACACCAGCCGCGGGGAATCCCTCTTATCCAGGAGGCGGACCAAGGCTTATGCCCGGCAAGCCTACTATGCCGGACAAAGAGTGATGCACACCGACAGCAGGCCGGCGCCGGAGCCGACCCCAAACAAAATCTCCTTTACAGATGAGGATGTCTTCCTGTTCGACCACCCCCACTTTGACGCCTTCGTGATCACGGCGCCGATCATGGCGATAAAGATCCATCGCATCATGGTCGACACCGGAGCCTACGCGAGCATCCTCTATTATGACACCTTCAAAAAAATGGGGATCGATAAGAAGGAAGTGCAACCTTGTCGTGAACGGATCCAAGGCTTCAACGGACAGACAACGGCCCCCGTCGGCCAAGTGACACTGCCAGTCCGTTTCGGAGAAAAGGGGCAGCCCACGAGGACCATTTTGGAAACTTTCAAAATCGTGGACTGCCCGAGTGAATACAACGCCATTCTGGG